ATGGAAAAATAACTCAGCAAGAACAACCTCTTCTTAAATATAAATTTCTGATAAATATATTAACGTCTCAATTTAAACTTGTTTAATTAATTATTTGCGGATGGAATATCCATAATGTAATTCTTTCCATGAATTGTCAACTCAACAAGAACACAGAATTCACATACAATTCAAAGTAGCAATCATACCAAATTATCATATAAAACAAATTCGACAAACAAAGAACGAGGCATGACAAATAAGGATTTAATAAGTGCCACCAATTTCTAACTTAATACTTAAAAATGCCCACGACTTTAAGCCAACAAAATTTACACGTATAATCCCGAGTACGTACTTGTCACCTCGCGTACGCGGCTTTCATATTATACAAATGGCACATACGACTCAATGCCTAAGGGGTAATTCCCCCACTCAAGGTTAGGCAAGATACTTACCTTTTTGAAGTTAGACCGATATTCCAAAATAGCTTTCTTAATTGAATTGACCTCCGGACAGATCAAATCTATCCAAATTAATTGTATAACTTCATTAAAATTAATCGAAAATAATTTCGAATAATAAAATGTCGACTTAAAAGTTTATTCTAAAATGTCAACGCGGGGCCCGTCTCTCGAAATTCGACAGAATTTTTATGAAATTCGAACCCCTATTCCGATACGAGTTCAACCATACCAATTTTATTAAATTTCGATAATGAATTGACCTCCAAATCCTCAATTTAAGGTATAGAAAATTTCTACCATTTTCAACCCAGTTCACTAATTTCATGATAAAAACAACAATAGATTCATATATTTTAACCAAAATCGAGTTAGGAATTCTTACCCCAATATTTTCCTTGAAAAACTCTCGAAAAATTGCCTCACCCGAGCTTTCTTCATCCAAAAATGGAAGAATGAGAGGAAGTCTCATTTTTTGACTTTATTCTGCTGCCCAGGGGTTTGTTCTTCGCGTTCGCGATGAACAAATTCTTCAACAACCATTTCCAAACTCTTCCCAGGTAGCCTATAGTATAATAGTCATAATGTTTTGTACAAAACTCCAAATGACAACTGGTTTAACTTTTTGAAAACTAGTCATCAAGGGATACAACTTTCATGTTTTGATCATCTCTCAATTCCTTATATATTTCGAGATATAAGCTTCCAAAGTCAGCCCTGTGCAACAAACATTTCTTCTTCACGATTTCCAAACTCTTCCCAGACAACCTGTGATTTATCCACCATATCTTTTTGTACACAAATCTAAATACCAAACAATTTGATTTGCTAAAACCTAGACACAAACATTTCTTCTTCACGATTTTCAAACTCTTCCCAGACCATATCTTTTTGTACACAAATCTAAATACCAAACAATTTGATTTGCTAAAACCTAGACACAAACATTTCTTCTTCACGATTTTCAAACTCTTCCCAGACCATATCTTTTTGTACACAAATCTAAATACCAAACAATTTGATTTGCTAAAACCTAGACACAAAAAGCTACAACTTTCATTTTTGGATCATCTCCAAATTCTATATAGATTGCAAGATATAAGCTTCCGAAATCGGGTGACGGACAATATGAATTCCTTCTTCACGAACGCGAGCGCCTCTTCGCGAACGCGAAGAACAAAATCCCAGAAGCCAGATCCTTCTTCGCGAACACGAGAGGCTCCTTGCGAACGCGAAGAAAAAAACCAGATATCAGAAAACCAGCATCCAAAGTAGCCCAAAATGATCTGATAACACACCTGAAACACACCCGAGGCCTACGGGACCCCAACCAAATATACCAACAAGTCCTAAAATACGACACGAACTTAGTCGAGGCATCAAATCACATCAAACAATATCGAAACTACGAATCACACCTCAAATCAAACTTATGAGTTTATGAAATTTCCAAATTCTATAACTTGTGCCGAAACATATCAAATCTATCAGGAATGACCCCAAATTTTGCACACGAATCATAAATGACATAATGGATCTATTCCAATTTTCGGAATCGAATTTCGACCCCGATATCAATAAAGTCAACTCCTGGTCAAACTTTCTAAAAATCTTCTATTTTACAACTTTTACCAAAATGCGTCGAATTGTCCTACGGACTTTCAAATCTAAATCCGGACATATGTCTAAGTTTGAAATCACTATACGAAGCTATTGACACCATCAAAATCCCATTCCGGAGTCGTTGGCTCAAAATTCAAACTCCGGTCAACTATTTTCATTTAAACTTCAAAAATAAGAATTGTTCTTTCAATTAAATTTTGAATCTTCCGAAAATCAAACTCGACAATACACGCGGGTCATAATACATGTTACAAAGTTACTCAGGATCTTAAGTCGCTGAACGAAACGTTAATTCTCAAAACGACAAGTCGGGTCGTTACAAGAACCTTTCTATGGACAGGAAACATGGAGGCTTCCAAAAAGGCATTACGAGCCTGGGATAAACTATGTCTACCAAAGAGTACAGGAGGACTAAATCTTCTGAACATTCACCTATGGAACAAAGCGGCTATGTGTAAGCTACTATGGAAGTTGAGTAAGAAGAAAAATATCTTATGGGTGAAGTGGATTCATATATACTATGGGAAAGAAGACTCGATGTGGGATAAATTTCCCAAGCAAGCTTGTTGGATGATACAAAAAGTTTTTAAAGCTAAGCAATATATTGAGGAAGCTGGTATGACCAAAGAAGATTTGATGAATCTAAGCTCATTTTCAATCAAACAGATGTATCTAAAGATGCTTGGAGAGTACATAAAGGTTAGCTGGAGAAGATTAATATGCAACAACACGGGATCTCTTAAATGGCTGTTCATAGTTACTATGGTGGCTCATGGAAGGTTATATACAAAGGATCGGCTAGCTCACTGGGGAATGGTGGTGGATCATACATGTCTTTTGTGTCAGGCAGCATTGGAAAGTATTGAACATCTATTCTTCAGATGTATTGTATCTACTTTTATTTGGGGGAAGATATTGGAATGGCAAGGTATATCAAGGAATGTTATGGAGTGGATTGAGGAAATACAATGGCTTGAAAGTAATCATAGAGAGAAGAGTGCAGCAGCCACATATGGCAAGAAAGGAATTTAGTGGTGTTTCAGAGCAAAAGAAGACAACCTACATAAATTATCAAGATAATCATCCAGGAGGTCTTTGTGAGAACTAGTATGTACAAGAAGCTGAACAACAAAATAAATAATATGAACTTTTATCCTGTCTTATAAAGATTTTAGGCTATTTGACAGGGTGAACTGAGTAGAGTCGGAGAGCAAACCTGGGGTAGTCCAGTTTGATGTTTTCTGCTTTTTCTTCTTGAGCTGTATTCTCTTAGTTGGTAATAAAATTGCTTATTTACCAACAAAAAAAATAAAAATGAATATCAATTTATATAGTAAACTTGTAGGAGATAATAGTAGAATGATTTCAATACTTCTGAGATTTTTACACAAGTAGTATATGGATTAGATTAATAAAAGTTTTGGTCAAACCTTAAGTGCTTATAAGCTAAAAAATAATAAGTTGGGGCGACCAACTTATGAATTTTGACTTATTTTAGCTTATAAATACTTTTAATTTTACCGGACATATAGATAAGCCGAAAATAACTTGAAAGCTAGTTATAAGCTTCCCAAACACCCTCGTATAATTACGAATAATTATGTGTTCTATTATATTATGAAGTTAACCTTAAACACAGATTTTTTAAAATTAAACATGGTTCTACTAAATAGTTGAATCCTTTTATTCGTCCAACATGTACATTTTTCCTTAAAAAATTCATTGCATTAACATAATGGCCAGGAGAATTCAAAAAGCATTATGACGCTAGGGATCGTTTGGTATGCCAAATAAGATGGGATAAAATGTGATACTACTAAATTTATACTATTTTTGATTGACGGTATAAATTTATCCTGGGACAAATTTATATCATCAACCAAACATAGTATGAACTTAGTCCCAAACTTAATTCTGAATATCCCACCTTATCCCATCAAACTTGGTATTACTCTATCCCACTTGAACCCACCTTCCAGGTGAGATAAATTAGCCTAAAAATTATAATCTCATGACTATAATCCTGAAATAATTTAAACTGCGTACCAAACTACCCCTAAGATTTGAAAGTTTAGCCAGGGCCAAGCTTAGGATTCTACTACTCGGGACGTCCTATCAGGATTTGGTTATTTTGGATGGTCAAAAGACTCTTCCGCTTTCCTGTCTTTATCTTTAATTTCTTGTGTTGGTTGCTCTACTTTCTAGCTGGTGTTAATGATTTTCTGACTTTTACACTACTGTATTTTTTTCTCTATACTGTTGCATGCTTGCTAGGAGCCAACGATCTGCCGGAAACAGCTCTCTACTTGCATAAAGTAAGGATAAGGCTGCGTGCATAATACCCTCCCCAGAACCCCTATTTGTGAGATACACTGGGTTTTTTGTTGTTGTTACTTTTGACTAACTTCACTTGCACTTTATCCAGATTTCACTCTTTCGGCATATTCTGAATTCATCAGACAATAGAAATAGTCAGTCGAGGCTGTATTTCATATTTTGAGATAGCTATCCTCTCGTGTATCACTTTCATACGTAATGCATAGTAGCAACATACGGCCTACGCTTTGTTTTCAACAATTTGACCTGAAAATAAAAACTGATAAATAGGAAAACTCAGTTTTTTCCCGTTTTTAGTTCTGCTTCTGTGAAGCACAATATTTGAGAATCCATAAAACAAACTTAAGACATCAACCCTTGAGTTTTAGGGACAAATGCATCAGCAAAATTGATGTTGCTGTTTTAGAGTCAAATCAAGCTTATCGAAAGGAAAAGGAAAAAATAAGTAAAACAAACTTACTGTCAGAAAGGAAATCAGAAATCAGACCAAGCTCTTGTTCTGAACAATCCATTGTTCTCCACTTTATAATTAACTTATTTTAACCGCTATAACAGAGCAAGAACACAGGAGAGGAGAGGCGTGCTATTCTATATGTATACTGCTTAAGTTAAAACTGATAATAACCAGAACATAGATTTCTAAGATTACATAAGAAAATTAAACTTAAGTAAAAGAGTTACAAAAATAAAATATAAGTACATTATATTCCAACTCCCTTGCTCGGAAGTAGGCAACAATGCTTTCTCTCTCCATCCAGCAACTATTCACAAGAATACTGTAATAACCGTTGCTTGTAACAGTTGAAGTATCCGTGTATGTGTCTGTGTCTGTCTGTGTCTCTGTCTATATCTATGTGTATATTATGTGTTTTATGAGTGTGCATACAACATACATTAGAGATTTATTAGTAAACCAAAAAAGTATCTCACCATTCCTAACATCTCTTCCAGATTATGGTGAAGTGCTTGAAGTGACAGCAATTGACAATCTTTCCTGGAACACCTAATAAAATGTATAACATGTGATATAAATGAATATATGGCATGATGATCTATTGAAAAGCGGAAAAAAAACAAGGAATATATGCCAAGATTCCATCAAAGAATTTTGGCATAGGCTGCAGAAAAAGTATGCTGGCATAGCATAACTGCTCATTACCATTCTGAAGTGTTCCAACTCTTTACCAAGCTCTGCCTCAAAGTCTTTCACTGATGGCAGCACATTATCAGGGGAGGGCAAATTTCCTGCTTCAAGCACCTACAACATTCATGGCGTAAATGACGTGACAATGCAAATGCTTAAACTTTTAAGTATGCATTGTCAGGAAAAGAAGTATGCATTTACTTCTACAAACAATTTGATTATCTAATATTGGTCAAATTTATTTACATGAATACATAAGGGTTGCAGCACCTGGAGAAAAACTTCCATGCAGCTGAGCTAATTCTTAGATTGCTGAGGTTAAACCTGTGTCTTTAATTAGCTAAAATCAGAGGTGCTTGGGAGTAGGTCACACTTTTCATCCTAGACAAATTGGAAGTAGTCAATATTATAGCCTGTTTGGCCAAGCTTCTCCCCAAGCCAAAAGTGTTTTTTTTTTCTTTCAAAAAAGTGCTTTTTTCGTCAATTTGAGGCGTTTGGCCAAGCTTTTTTTGGGGGAAAAAAGTGCTTTTGGCTAGAAGCAGAAGCAGTTTTGAAGAAGTAAAAAAAAGTAGCTTCTCCCTAGAAGGGAAGCAGAAGCAGTTTTGACTTTTCTTCCTACCAAAAATACCCCTTGCAAAATATTATATATACCAAAATAACCTTAGTTTAAACTAATAAGTAATATAAAATGACTTTTGGGATGAACTTTCATATTTATTGAATGATTTTTTGATATATTTAAATTATCTTGAAAGAATAAAGTACTTTTCAATTTTATTTTATATTTTACTTAAATAAAATAAAAAACTTAATTGTTATCTTTAATAATAAATATTTGTAATTATTTATCTACTTAGATAATATTAACTATTAAGCAAATCTTTTCGTGTCTTTATTTGTAATTTGACACTTAAAAGCACTTTTTGAAAAGCTTGGCCAAACACAAATTATTATTCGAAAGTGCTTCTCAAATTGATTAGTCAAACACAAACTGCTTTTCTCCAAAAGTACTTTTTTGAAAAGCACTTTTGAAAAAAACACTTCTGAAAATAAGCTGATTTTTCCAGCTTGGCCAAACAGACTATTAGTGTTTTTGAGTCCAATTGATTAGAAGCATCTATGCATTTAGAATTTATTTTGTGCCAATCTTTGTAACCAGGACGCTGATGATAATGTTCTCTTCTTTTCTTTATACCATAGTTTACCAAAATAAAGTAGAGCAAATGTGTCAAATAGTCTAATTGTCTGAACCAATATGTCCTCAACAACAGTTATTCATCACTTGATAATAAAATAAAAATTAGCCTTCAGAAGGAAAATTCCACCTCGCGTAATTTTTGAGAATTGCGATTGTTGTCTAACAAGCAAAAAGCTGGTATGATCTATCACAAGCATTAAAGCAGCAAATGTGAATGAACGACCCAAAACATATCATGTATCTTCAGATGACAATGGGACTTGTTGCCTCTGTGAGGAAAATATCAGATCGGCCAGAAGATATAACACATGATGAAATGTCAGAACCATTTTTGCCTCCTTCTATAGCATTAAGAAGTTGTACCACAAGAGATCAACTGAACAGAATCACATGGGTTCCTAGAAGATATAAGGAAGAGAAACATAAGGATGACTGTAAAGGTTATATACCAATTTAAATCCTTCGCAGGTATGTGAGAATTCCGCATTGTCGATGTTGACCAGCTGAAGTTGTTCTATTGCAGCAGATACACGTAGAATTGCACAAAGAATTCTGGATTTCCATCTCATCTAAGGTAGAAAGATAAGGGTTAAACAAACATAAGAGCTTCCATCTATGCTAACATGTTATCTGCATTTGTCTTATTCATGTCAATTTACTGACATGGGTGTCGGTATTCCGTGCATATCTACAAAATATATTGAAAAAATTGCTAAAAGTTGAACATATTCGGGGGTGTTGGTACTTAGAGCAGATTCTTCAAAGTTAACAAAACTTGCTAAAAACTGAACTTACGCATGCCAGATACACACCCATAATGCAGTTAGAGAGTGTAGAAGTCTCTATATCACAAAAAATTAAGATAGCTCTTGGTCAAAACACAATATGATACCTCTTCTGTCAATTCCTCAAGCACAACATGATCACACTTGAGAAGTTTCTTTCTATGGTGCCGCACAAGTAAAGCTATTAACTGGAAGCTGACGAAAATGCCATCAGTTTTCAATCTGAATCTTATTCTGAGTAAATAAGGGAGACACCATACCTTAACCTCTTCATCATTATAACCATGCAGATGGTCACCATTCTGCACAGTAAGTTAAGCTTGTCATAATAAATTACATGGGAATGCTCCCAATAACTCTTTCTCAAGGTAGATAAGAGAACTGAATCAGCTGAATCCAGATAACTAATCATTAAATAATATCAATGACAGATGCCTCAGAATATCTATCCCTCTATATCTCTATCTTTAGCTACTGTCTGTTTATTGCTTCATTTTCACTTCTTTTGAGCCGAGGGTCTTTCGGAAACAACCTCTCTACCTTCGTTAGGTAGGGGTAAGGTCTGCGTACACTTCACCCTCCCCAGACCTCACTTGTGGGATTTCACTGGACTTGTTGTTGTTGTTGTTGTATATCTCTATCTTTAATATGAGAAACTAGGGCCTGTTTGGTTTGGATTAGTTCACCCGATTTAATCAGTATGTCTAATTAATTCTCTTTTATAATCAATTAATGTTCCGTTACTGTTTAAAAAATCGCATTTCTCAAAAATGACTATCATCTTACCGAAACTTATTTATTGAATTATCTAATTATCACTATTCTAAATCAAAATCATTTTCAAAAATATAAAACCAAACAGGCCATGACACAGCTTTAATTATGCAATGCTATTCATTGAAACTCTTGCACGCAAATACACCAATCAAATCTTTTTGTCACTTTATGGTTGCAGCATTACATGAACAAAAGTTACCTAAACTCCTGCACATGCAATGGCACAGAAATTTATCTGAATCTTCTGAGTAGAGAAATAAACACATACCATTATAATATGGTAAGACTGCTTATGGTAGCCCTTTTTACCAACATAAAGACCGATTTTGTGAAGCAAACAAGCTGCCTCAAGATACTCAAGATCTTTATCCTCCAAGCATACAACGAATCCATCAGAACCATTGCCCGATTCATACCATTTTCTCAAACCATCAAATATCTCCTACATCAAGAACATTAAGAAAATCATCTCAAAACAGTATTTCCGCCCTAAAAATATGGAACAAGAGATGGTGAACTTCTTATTGTTTCCCATTCCGAATTATCAAATACCTTCGCAACACTATAGCACAATGCAGCAGATTTCATGCGCTGCTTGTTATTAAACCTTGTCGCGAGCCTCACTACAGACCTCCACCTTGCATTCACCCTCGGATCATAATGATTAAAAACTTCCCCTAACTTCTCTGCAATCACACCCTCCCCTAATGCATATACAGAAACCTCCATCTCCTCAATCTTAAGTTCCTTAAATATCTCCTCCAATAAAACTGCCCCTGCCACAATAAATTCTGATCTCTTCTTGAAAAAACTCTGCCTTTGAACCATCCCCCCAACTCTTCTCTCTTCCTCGCTCAACCTCTTCACTAATCCCCTCAATTCTTCCATTGTAAAACTCCAATCCCTCCTATTTTCCTCAAATATGCCCACATTTCCCTCCATCTTACTTGCATAGCCATGGAAAATAGCCTTTTCAATATTCCTAATCGTCCCTGATGAACCAATCACTTTATTAATATCGTAATGCTTAACCTTCTCGCTCAAACCCGAGGCTCGGATTATACCCTTAATATTTTCCCGCATTTCTGTAATTTCAGGAAATTTTTGAGTTAAAGTGACATGCCCCAACGCTAGTGAAATGGAGAACAGAATGTTGCCCTCTTTGCCAATTACGAACTCGGTAGAGCCACCTCCTATGTCAATTGTAAGAACTGTACGGTCATGAACAGGATGAAATTGAAGTATACCTTGGTATATAAGGCGGGCCTCTTCGAGACCGGAGAGTACGTCAACTTGCAGGCCTAGGATTTCATGGATCGTGTTAAGGAATTGCGATTGATTGGAAGCTTCTCGAACAGCTGAAGTGGCTACGAGGCGGGAATGGGAGGGAGGAACGCGATGGGACTGAAGAAGATTCTGAAACTTTCGAAGTGCTGTCGTGGCGCGTAGCTGGGAGGCAGTGGAGATAGTGGCGGAGGTAGTGGTGGTGGTAGTATCAAGGCCGAGGAGTACTCTTTCCTTAAACCGATCGAGGGTGAGGAAACGGCCGGTGGAAGGGTCGGCGCGAACTATGAGGAGCTTGAAGGAGTTGGTGCCGAGGTCTACGGCGGCGAAGAGGTTATCTCTGACGGCGGGAATTGAGGTGGTGTTGAGAGGAATTGGGAGATTGGCCGACATTTACTCCGGCATCGACTGAAGTATGCCAATTGTTACTCTGTTTAGCTATCGCTTTTCTCCTTTCTGATTGCTTGCTTCCCGCATATAAATCACGCATAAATTATTCACGCGACTTACTAATTGCTACTTATATAAATAGTATTTGAAAATGCATTGTGATACGTTCACTGACTTTGCATACTAAAAGTAATTAATATTATGGGTATAACAGAAAAATAGAAATTATTTTCTCTTGATATACTAAAAATAAAAATATATTTTTAAATTATTGAATAAGTAAAAGTGAACCAGAAATATTTAGTAAATGCAACTTACGATAAATCGCATGCCTCTTTTGTACGCCACTTATACATCACATTTATGCTATTTCCGATAGCAAATTTATAATTCCATTTATAGAATGCGATTTGTCATTCGTGAACTAGCCTTACATATTCCTTGGTTATTAACTAGGTTCCCTATCTACTACGCAAAATTAGAAATTGGGTTTCAATAGAGGCTATATAGGAGTTTTATAGTTTTACCAATAAAAATCAAACTAATTACTCTTGCCTGCTAGGGTTGTTTAAAATCAAATCGAAATCGTTAACCGAATCGAACCGATGACTTATTGGTATCGAATTATTAGGGTAATGGATGACGAACGGATTGAGATTTTATAATTAATGGCTTAACGGTTTGGGGCGGATTACTCAATTTTCTTATCGGATAAACCGTTAACCCGTTAAGAATTTTTATATTCAGACTTTCCTATGGATCTTGAAGTAGTAAGAACTCCTAAGACTCGATATCAATTCCAATTTATAACTTTTTCACCCGAATTTTCAATTCTATCCGGCTCATCAAGTCTGTTAGGATGCGTACAAGAAGTCAGTCAACAAAATCACCCATAAAAAAGAATTCATTTCAATATTATACCCAAAAAAATTATTTGGTTTAGACGATAAACCGCCCAATAACCGCCCGATAATCGTTAATCCGATATCAATCCGCCCATTGTCTTATTGGATGGCTAGCGGATTACTACATTTATAATCCGATAACCGATAAGTCGAACCGTTAAACGTAATTATACGCTCGGTCTGCCCGATAACCCACCCCTATTGCCTAACCATTTACTGTTCTATCATCAAACTAATTACCCTTCATACCCATCATAGTAATTGTCTCTTTTTTCTCCTTTTCTTTTTTCTCGTTTTTCTTTATTCTTTGCTTTTTTTTTTTTTCTCCTTTTATGTTTATTTTCCAATCATATTGTTTTTTCAACCATAATCTGATTCCATGCTCAATTTTGGCTCATTTTTCTCTTTTGTTTATTTTTTTTATTTCTTGATCCTTTTCTAATTTCATTTAAATCTTTTTTCCTTTTATTTCCTTTTTCTGCATAATCTGATTTTATTCACTTTTTTTGCTCCTTTTCTTTATTCTTCTTTTTTTCCTATGCAATAATAAAAAGATAACCGATATTGATACTCCCTCCGTTTCAATTTATGTGAACCTATTTTCTTTTTTAGTATGTGCCAAAAAGAATTACTTATTTCCCTATTTGAAAATAATTTACCTTTATGCAATGATTTGTAGCCATAAAAATATATATGCGCCTCATTTTGCACCACAAGTTCAAAAATCTTCTCTCTTTTCTTAAACTCTGTGCCCAGTTAAATGAGTTCACATAAGTTAAAACGGAGGGAGTATAATATATTTTTGTCTTACCTTTTCTCATTTCTTTTTCTGTAGATCTTTTTCATTAGTATAATAAAGTGGCATATTAGTAGTTAATGTTAATGTGAAAAACTTGCCACAATAGTATACCAAAACTGCATATAAATATACCAAATAGGTATATTACTATTTTATATCTCCAAACACATGCTTCTTATACAATGAATATTATTTTCATGGAACTCTATCAAAAAATTTATTTAAGAAAATATTTGCAAGGACCTAGTTGGAAAAATTAAAAATAACTTATTTATTACTGTATACTATAACAATAATGTTACTATAACCATGACTTTAGCTTGGCACAATAACACCTAAATCATTCAATAAAATAGCAGTCAAAGTATACTATTATGGTATATTATATACTATTACAACATATTGTTGCAGTATATTGCATATTATTACATGTTATAGTATATTGTATACTATAACAGTATACTGTTGCAATATAGCTATATACTTCAAAGAAGGTGTCTTGCAAACCCCCAAAATATTTTAATGATTAACATTATTAACTGGAACATAAGGGGAGTGAAATCCAAAGGAGCGAGCATAAGATTGGCCAAATTGATCAGGATGCACAAAATTGATTTTGTGGTGTTACATGAATCATTCTTGGTTGCAAATCAGTTAGCATTACAAGAATATTATGGGCTTTGATCATGCCGCTTTCAATAAATAGCAAAATTTGGTGTATGTGGAGGAATAACACTAATTGCACTATCATCAGCAATAGTTTGCAACAGATTACTCTGGAGGCCAATCACAATGGAAATAAATTCTGGATAACATGGGTCTATGCTAAATCTACTATTAAAAAAAGAAGGAAACTTTGGCGCAAAATCAGGTCTGTCCATCATTGCATCAACGGACCACGGACTATTCTAGGAGACTTCAATGTTATTACGAATGCTGATGAAAAGAAAGGTCGTGCACCTTACACCCTAAATGAGAGCAGAGATTTTCTTTCATGCATGGAGGATTGCGAGATGTGCGATTTAGGCTTCAATGGCTATCCTTTCACCTAGTGCAATGGCAGGTGCAGAAGAAATAAAATAAGCGAGAGGCTGGATAGGGTCATGATTAATGAAGACTAGTCAGATCTTTTTCATTCTAATACGGTCTACCACAGAGGCAAGACTGGATCTGACCATAGCCTTATGATTTTCAAAGCTGGAAATGATAATGCTGAATTCACCAGGTACTTTAGGTTTCTCAATTTTTGGACCTCTCAAAGTGACTATCTCTCTACAGTTGAGGAAATCTAAAATATTGACATTCAGGGCAACTACCTTTGGGTCTTACAACAGAAGCTTAATTGTTTCTAAAGGCCTAAGCAACTGGTCCAAAGATACCATTGGTGATGTTTTTGAAATAGTTAAAAAATTAAAGACTGATATCTACCGATTAGAGGAAATCTATGATGCTAACGACACTAATAATAACAGGCAGACTCTTAGTAAGGCCCATACTGAATACACCAGATGGCTAAAGATTCAAGAGTCCATTTTCAAACAGAAAGCAAGAATCAAATGGGTAGAGGAAGGAGATGCCAACACTAAATATTTCTATAGTGTAGTGAAAGAGAAAAGAAGGAAAGCTCATATACACAAAATTAAAGATGCCAATGGAGGATGGATTGAGGGTAATAAGGCCATCTCTAATGTTGTTGTGGACCACTTCTCTAAACTCTTTGAGCACAGCCCCAACGATAATGATCTATTTATTTTACAATGCGTGGACTCACTTATTATAGATGAAGACAACAGATACATGTATGAATTGCCAGATGAAAAAGAGATAAGGAATGTTGTCTTCTCCATTGATCCTAATAGTACCGTTGGGCCTGATGGGTTTAATGTGCACTTTTATCAAGCTACCCTGAATATTATTAAAAATGAGATATGCCAATTTGTTCAACCTTACTTCTCCGGGACCAGTCTTACTAAATACTTCTCTCACACAAACCTCGTTCTAATTCCAAAAGTATCCTCACCTTCCACCTTAGACCAGCTCAGACCTATTAGTTTGTGCAATGTATCCAACAAGATTATCTCCAAACTCTTATCTACCAAATTATCCCAACTACTCCCCAAACTCATCTCTGATAACCAAACAGGTTTTGTCAAGGGCAAGATCATTACTGAGAACATCCTTCTGGCCCAAAAGATTGTCCATGATATTCGTAAGAATAACTAGGGGCAACATTATTATTAAACTCGATATGTCCAAAGCCTATGATAAATTATCTTGGAGCTTCCTTACAGTTGTGCTTAGAAAACTGAACTTCTATGAGGTTGTGATTGATATGATCTACAGGCTTCTTGCTGACAACTGGTACTCTATCCTAATCAATGGTACAAGATACGGCTTTTTAAAATATTCCAGAGATTTAAAACAAGGGGACCCCATATCCCCCTCTCTCTTTATTTTGGATTCTGAAGCACTGACCAGAGCACTAAATAAACTCCATGAGAATAGCCAATTCATTGGCTTATCTATGAGCACTAGTGGCCCCAAGATCAATCACTTGAGCTATGCTGATGACTTGGTTCTCTCCTCCTCAGGAGATAGGAATTCTATCAAACTCATCATGGAGGTCCTCAATGACTATCAATATGCTTTGGGGCAGGAAGTTAATAGAGATAAAAGTTTCTTTCTCACTCAAAACTCAAGAAATCGAAGGGTGAACATTAGGATCAAAAGATGGACAGGATTCAAACAAGTAAAATTTTTCTTCACTTATCTAGGCTGCCTAATCTATATTGGCAGAAAGAAGAACTTATACTTTTTTTTATCTCGCCTCTAAGGTGCTTAATAAAGCAGATAGTTGGCAAAAGGAACTTACTGTCATTTGGGGGTAGGGCTATCATTATCAAACATATCCTGCAGTCCCACTCTCTACCTACTTGATGTTATGGTACCACCAAAAGCTATTATTAGTCAAATTAAAATGTATCTCTCTAACTTCTTCTTGGGAGAAAAGGAAGGCAAAATAGCTATCATTGGAGCTCCTGGGAAAACTTGAGCTACCTCCACAATGAATGGGGAGTTGGTTTCAAGAAGTTTCAAGACATTTGCAACTCATTTGATGCTAAGAGATGGTGAAGATTTAGGGTCGAAAATAATTTATGGACCAGGTTCCTCAATATAAAATATTGCCCTAGATCTAATCCACTATCCAAAAATTCTGTTCCTAATGACTCCAATTCCTAGAGGAACTTAATGAGCGCACTAGAGATATAATTGATTCTCACATTTTCTGGAAGATCCATGAAGGCACCAACTTGTTTTGATGGGAAAAATAGACCCCCGCAGGTCCTATCAACATACATAGCAACCACACTCAGAAACCTGGCAATGCAAGAGTTTGTGAATTTAT